TTTGCTATTTTGTGCTGAACATATCTGATATGAGATTTCCAGGAGAATTTGTCATCAACTATGACACCTAGAAATTTAATTTCATATACTCGTTCTATATTAGCTCCCCCACTTTTCAATTGAAGTTCATTATCTAGTCTACGATTCCCAAATACCATAAATTTAGTTTTATCCAAATTCAGAGATAGTATATTACTATCACACCATTTCTTTATCTTCTCAAGTTCCTGTGAAACCTGTCCAGAGAGTTGCTGTAGGTTTTCACCCGATGCCCATATGGTAGTGTCATCAGCAAAAAAAACCACTTTCACTAAATCAGAAACCTTGCATATATCATTCATGTATAATATAAATAATTTAGGTCCCAAAACAGAACCCTGAGGCACTCCACATACAATGTCCAGCTAACTTGATTTATATTTGCCCAACTTCACAAATTGCCGCCTCTGTGTCAAATAACTTCTAATCCATGTCAGAGCCATTCCTCTGATCCCATATTTCTCTAACGTGTCCATTAATAATTCATGACTGATTGTGTCAAATGCTTTTTTTAGGTCAATAAATATTCCTATCGTGTATTTCTTCTCATCCATAGCACTTGTAATGTCCTCCATCAGGTCGGTAATGGCCAAAGATGTCGACCGGTTCAACCTAAAACCATACTGGCAATCAGAGAGGATTTTATAAAAACTTCAGCTCTGGGAAACATGTCCATAGTTTCCCAGAGCTGAAGGTGACATCTTCAACTATCATTAACCTGATGAAACATTTCCCATTTCCTCACATCTTTGGCTGTTTATTGCGGCTGACAAAAACTCATCTACTTCAGTCTGAGAAAAGTGTCCAACCATGCATGTCATGGTTTTATGGAGGACCACTCAGATGTATCAGCCTCCTGATGCACTCAACAGATCTGATGCCTTCATTTTCAAATCATTTCTCTGTTATTTGTGATTGAACAACTGGCATCTGTGGCTGCTCTTCTTTTATTCGGTATTGAAGTCTGGCCTGCATACACAGACACTCCTCACTTTACCCAATATAATAAACAAGGAACGTGTGAATTCATGTGAGGAAACTGGGAAATGTCATGAGGAAAACTGTGCTAAATTGGAGCTGAATGGTTCAGTCTGAAACGTAACACATTTAAAGAGCAACTAAAAAGCAGAAGTGGTCGACTGAGTTCATCAACTGTTTAGAGCCAAAGGGAAAAAAATATAATGTTTTACTAATCACTTTAATTATTTCTATAAATAATAATTTATTCAGTATTCCTTTTGATCACCACTTTTGGTCCTCCACAGTTCTCAGCTCTCATTATGTGCAAGATTATTGTGATTACCCAGTCCTTGTCTCAGGAGGGGTCCACATGGGTGACTGAAAGAAACCTTGACTTATTGCCAACATGTTTTTAACTGTTCAGTGTTGCTGCAACTTCAGAAAGACTTTACACACACATTTGGCCATCCAGGTGTCCGAGTGATAAAATTAAACAATTCAAGGAGGAACAATCACTCCTCAAGTAAACTGTTGCAACTTGTAGACATATAAATAGTAAAAACCTTTTATTATGGACACACACGACAAAAAGGTTGGGGAGTACTGGCCTCAGATGTCTCTTGTGCATAAGCCATAATAGCTTAATGTCTCTTTTTGTACTTGGACTACATTTTTATCAGTTATCCGATGAAGTCGAGGGACATTACACTGTCTCTGAAGTCAAGGTGACTGAGATTCCCAGGTACTCCTGCACCTTAGGGACCTGCTCACCCTTCTGCCAGGGAGACAGGCAAATGGTTTGGTCTCTTGTCACTAGAAGAGGCCACATGACCACTGGATAACATGCAGTCACACACTCATGATCATGGTGAGCTAATGCAGAAATAATGACAAACACTCCAAGAGGCTTGAGGATACACACACATTCAGCTTTTCCATGTTAAATGAGGATAAAAAAGTGGAACCAGTGGTGTGTTAATCCACATGATGTTTCTTGACTCTGTCTTTTGCAAACTGTCAAGAAGTCGCAAGGTTTGATATCACATAAATGTGGAGTTTATTTTAATCCACAACAGTTTCTTTCTTCCTGTGTGCCTTTATATCTACACTGTGGAGAGGAAGCACGTTCTCAATGTGAGGGCAGCAGCTGACGCCTGTCAGATGCGATTGTAAAGTGGATGGGTATATGCGTGTGTGTGTGTGTGTGTGTGTGTGTGTGTGTACGCACATGTGTGTTGCCTAAGCAAATGGCAGCCACAGTGTCAGGTTGAGCAGAGCCACACACCCTTTTCATCTCCGTCCAGCTGTCCCCTCTTCCTGTCTTCCCCATTTGTACGGCTGTACCCAAGTGACACACAGAAACACACACGCAGTATATCCACAGCTATCCACATAAACACAGCCCTAATATAATGCACTTTTTTTAATTTGCTTTTCTTAAAATGATCTCTCGGAGCCAGAGTACTGTTATGTCTTAATTTGGTAAAGTCCTTAGATTGTCTTTCCTCATCGCTCTTTCATACTTGCTACTTTCTGGTGTGTTGTGTTCACACTCGTTGGTGATGTTGACAGTAATTATTTATGGCTTCTGTTTAATAGGTTGCTTGGAGGACAATTGAAGAAATTAAGTTGGTTAATCAACCCTTCAGTCGCCTTGTTTTCTTGTCCATTACACAGCCATTAGGTCTGTGTTTTCTCGTCCCACTCTCACTTTGTTTCTCAGCTACACTGTTGTGTTGTTAGCACGGTCCTTACACAACACACACACAATCAAAGGGATGACGCTTCTTAATGTTAAAGCTGAGTGTTCTGTCTTTTATCAGCGGCAATCAAATGTTGTTGTTTTTACTCCCCATGAAAAAAATTGAAAGATACGGCTAAGTCAGGGTGTTACAGTATCCCACTCCGTGTGTCCAAGCCAAGTGGTGGCATCTTTTTCTGTTATTTAGCTGGAATGAAATGAATAGTTTTTAAAGCTTTAATTAATACGCTTGTACAGTGTCTTCATTCCTGCAGCCTGGGTAGGGTGGTTTATGTGTGTGTGCTTGTGGTTTCAATTCTGCTCCCCCAGGAAGGTAGAGCAGCAACCATGTGGCTAAGGATAATGATTTTATTGATTCTTTGTTCTTCACACTTTCTCCCTTCTTGCCTCAGTTTATTAATTTTGTTTCAGTTTTACTGAACATTTACAAGCAGCATTTTCCTCTGTCTGGGCACTCGGTAGCTTTAATTTTCCATTTACTTTGCTGCCGTACGTATGCATCCACGAGTTCTGTTTTTTCTCTTCAGCGATGCTGGTTTGATATAAGTAATGCTGTTATAATATCGAGCTGTCCATTGTGATGGACTAAAATTGTTCGACCAAATCCCAGAGATATCTAATTTGCTATCATAAATTCTGAGGAAAAATATTAAATATTAATAAGTGAGCAGCTTCAAGCATTCAAAGTTTGTCATTTCTGCTTGAAAAATAACTAAAATGATTATCAGAATAGATTTATTTTCTGCCAATAAACTGATTAAGCTGTATTGTACAGCGATTTTTTTTTTTTATGCCTTTATGGTAAATGGTAAATGGACTTTATAAAAGAAATGTCAAACAAGTGCCTCTGTTTTCTCTTTAGATAAAAAGGGGACAGAATAAAAAGTCCTTTGAGTTCTTTCCTTTGCATTTGGTGTATTTATCCTTTGCTCAGCACTCCTCCATGCAGTGCCCCCCGCCCCCAGCCTTGGTATAGTGAATTAGCATTGCAGATCATTACAGTTGAAAAGTACTGTCAGGGCCCCCACTCCCTCCTGTATTTTCTGCCACTCTAAGCACAACAGTGAATCACAAACACAGCCTCTGGGGAGCGAATACACTGCTGGACTCGACCTTTGGTGCTTAATATCGGAGCTCATGTTTATTCATGGAGGGCATTAGGTGTTTGATTGGGTGGGTCACCTGCATCGATGGGCACAAAATCACCATTCAGGATGTGGGCTTCTTAATCACTTTCTTGCTAAAAGTCCCAACACACAAGGATACACAGGTTTAATGAGCAGCAGTAAAACTAGGAAGCTCAACCAATATGGTTCATAATCAGTCTTTTCAATGTTTGTGATTTATGTGATCATTTTAAGAGTTTTTGGTTATAGGTTGTTGGTCTGAAGATCAGCTTGACCTGAAACCTCCAGGGGGCGAATCATCCTCAGATCTGCCAGTGGGATTAATCTGCTCATTGCCTGCTGTTTTTTGGCCATAACTCAATTTCCTCTCTTGTTTGCAAAACTGCCCTAAGCTCTGGAGGAAATCTGGCAGCAGCAAACTCAATCTCCCAGCTAACTCAGTATTACCCTCAGTGACCAGACCTCGCCCTAATTCTCTGACCAGTTATTAAAGCCTCATGTTGCCCGTCACTCAAGTTACATCATAAATACAGCTGTGAATTTCTGCCCTCGAGTGTTTTCTCTCTGCATCATAGAACAATCTGTTTGACATTTTAGCGTTGTTGTAGTACTTGACACCAAGACTCGGACTGATTTTCAGGACTTGACTTGGATTTGAGCAGTGATAACTCAAACTTGGACTCGAGTCTGATACGTTATTCACCCGCTGTGCTTAATATCGAGCTTGATGACTTGGACTTGGGAAGTGGGGACTGGAGACTCTAGGTATAGTGACTCGACTACAGCGCTGCATCCTAGTATATCAGGTTTTCACTCTGAGTTGTTTTCAGGAAGCAAATGGACAAATGTTAACTCAAATATGCATGTGGTTTTTCTCTAACAGGTTGCAGGGGAACAGAAATATCACCCAGAATGCTTTACCTGTCTGAACTGCAGGACGTTCATCGGTGATGGAGACACGTATGCTCTGGTGGAGAGATCCAAACTCTACTGGTAAATATCAACCACTATAAGATAAAAGAAATGCACACAAGGTCGGTGAAAATTAAGCAAAACCATAACATCTGGTTGCAAAAGTAAGACAGGTTTTAACACATTTTAAATCATTTTAATTCATCCAGTAAAGCAACATCTTGTCCCAAACACGTTTGCTACCTCTTTTGTTTTATAACTTCCTTCTTCCTTTCCATCCATCATTTCTTCCCTCATCCCATCATCCCTTTTCTGCTATTCCTTTATGGCTCCAGTGGCCACTGTTACTACCAGACCATTGTCACCCCGGTGTCCTTGCCGGACTCGCCATGCTCACGGATCCCTCACACCGTCACGCTGGTGTCCATCCCCGCCTCTTCCGAGGGAAACAACGGGCGCAGAGGGCGAGGTTTCTCAGTGTCCATCGACCAGCCTCTCAGCCCAACCAACGGCTACAGCCCTGAACATGGACACACTGTCAGAGTCTCCCAGTGAGTATCTCAGCCTGTGTGTGTGCGTGTGCGTGTGTGCATGTTTTGTTTTGTACAAAAAGAGACTGAGAAGAAGAGCAAGAGTTGACTAGGAAGGGGAGAGTAAGTGAGGAGGGGTCGGTGTGGTGAAGGACAAAGGATGAAGGATTTAAATAGAGGACAGGGTGATGGATATTATTCATTTAACCTACAGTATATAATAGAGTGGAAGCAAAAGAGCAGAAATCATTGTTATTCAAATGAGATGAGACTTCATCAGCCTTCAGGTCTACATGAAAATTATTCATTGTGTTTAAAGAGTTTTTTCTGTTCTTTTTTCTTAACCTTTATCCAGGGTGGATGCAGACTGCATCAGTCCAGATGTGAAAAACTCCATTCATGTTGGAGACAGGATTCTGGAAATCAATGGGACCCCCGTTCACAATGTTCCTCTGGATGAGGTATTCACCACACTGGCCCTTTGTCCCTTGTTACTGATTATACCTTACTGTAAATATGCAAATGAAACCACAGTGTATTGAATTTTCCTTTTGTGGAGCAGCTATTCTAGAAAAATGCTACCCAGCACAGATATTACAGATATTAACCACCTACAGTAGCGAACAAGAAATAACCAAACTTTAATTTGATCTATTCTGACATTAAGTAAATAGTAGGTGAACAGTTAGTTGGTGGTGAATACAAGAACTGACCTTTTAGTGATGTTACTGGGGAGATCAAATATTCATCTGTGCTGAAGGTACTAAGTAGCAGATATAAATGTTTCATCTTGTTTTGAACATTCAATTAGGTTCCAACTGAGCACTATAAAGAGGAACATCATCCATTAGACCTTTGCCTCAGCTATAATAGAGAGCTCTACTGTTCTAATTTTGGACTCCCCTCTTCCTCTCCAGATTGACCTGCTGATCCAGGAGACAAGCCGTCTGCTGCAGCTGACTATTGAACATGATCCTCACAGTCAGGGGCACAAAGGAGGCTCCTCAGAGGCTGAGGATCAGGTGGACGGCCCCCTGTCCACCCCTCTGTCAGAGGACCCCAGCCCCATCCTCCCCATCACCCAGCCTCCTAACTCCAACATCAGCAACCTGAGATCCCGCATTATCACGTAAGAAACGAGCAACTTTAATGCCTTACAGTACCCAACTTTACTGTAGGCAACACTTCTGTTGAAATGCACTAAATGTGCAAGAGGTTCAGTGAATATGATCATCTGGTGATAAACATTTTTGCTCAACCCACAATTGGCAGCAGTTTCACTTCTGTATGTCTTGTAATTACTAACCTTTCTAAAGTGTGTTAAAACCTAATAAACACCGTTTATGTTTCACGAAAAGCAGAAGTTATTTTGACCTCTTTGGTTTGCTTCACTGAAGTGAGGTGTAGCTGATTCCACTCTTTTGACTGCTAAAATAATAATAAATAATTATGATTAAATGTTTGATTGCCAGAAATGTATTTTTTAGGTTCCATTTTAACTCATGTTAGCAGCTTCAGAAGCTTAGAGCATGTTTATGATATTCTTTTGACTATGCTCTTAGCATAACCTGTATCTGCCTTCAGTAAAGAATGAACTGTTTCTAATGTAGCTTAAAGTGGTAATCAAATACTCTGCTCCCCTCTCTTCATTCTCTTCTTCATCTGTTTCCCCTTCTCTCCTTTCCCTTCTTCTTACTTTGTTTGCCTTCCCTCTATCTCTTCAGACGGAGCTGCAGCATTGATAAGTCACCAGGTTCCAGCAACACGGCGTCCCCCATTTCCCAAAGGAAGGATATTAACCGATCCGAATCACTTCGTGTTGTGTCCAGTCGTACTCACCGCATCTTCCGCCCGTCTGACCTCATCCATGGAGAGGTGCTGGGAAAAGGCTGCTTTGGACAGGCCATTAAGGTATATTTGGGCATTATGGAGACACTGCCAGGCTGTATGTGAAGCACATGTGTGGTGTCACACTTTAAATATCCAGAAGGTGGCAGCATTGTGATAAATAAGAAGGTGGGGAGACACAGGAGGACGTAACACATCTTGGAATTTTCAAAATTCCCTTACTGACACATAAGAGTTGGAATGAAAATGTCACAACCAAATGTTTATGGTTAATTATGCAAAGGAGTAATGTCACCTAGGTTGTTGCTCAACTTGATTCATTACATCACTGTGTGTTATCCAGGTTACCCACAAGGAGACAGGGGAGGTGATGGTGATGAAGGAGCTGATTCGCTTTGATGATGAGACACAGAAAACTTTCCTGAAAGAGGTGAGTGGAGGAGGATAATCCCAGATGTTACAACATTTATGAACGTAATCCTACGTCTACTTAGTTGTCCGTTCAAGGCTGAATCAACTGTTTGCTTGTCCTTAGGGAAAATCTGAAGTCAATAAATATTGACCTCAGATCATAAAATGATTAGTATGATCACAATGAATACAAACAGAATTGTAGTCCTGTATTAGTGATGATTCAGTGCTAGTCCAAGTTTTGAAATGAGAGTAGCCAGTAGCCAAAAGTCAGTGAAGTGGGTTTCCCAAAAACTGTGGATGAGCAGAACATAGTTTATGTCTTACATAAAGCCTTAGTTTTGACCTGACCTTCCATTAATGTGAAAAGATTACAGAGAATGATCCATACACCGAAATGTACAGTTTGAGTTATTGCTACCCTTGAAGTGATCTAAATTTGGCCTGATGTTCCTGTTTGATGTTCAGTATTGTAGTCACTCTTCCGCCCGGACTAACTGAGGTGTTTGAAGTTTACAAAATAGTTCCCCTTTAGTTGTGTGTCTGTATGTGTGGGGTTTTAGTTTATTATTAGGCTGAGATAATGCTGAGCCTTTGCTTTGTAATTGGTGTGGATGATGAAAAAGGACTGGCTATAAAACACACCCTGGCCACATGTTAAGCATGGCTATTACTCCCAGTGGCTGTTTATTGGTAGGTGGCCCATGTCTCACATTACTGACTCTTATGGGGTCTCATTTGGTGCTCCACAGCCTCTGTAGTGAAGATTAGAAAGGGCATTTCCAACAAAGATATCATGTGACTTGAAGGGTAATGTTTCATGTTTATGTATGGATAATAGGGACCTGCCGCCTCCACCTTCATCACCCTGTCAGCCCAGTCACCAGGGAAGGAAATGTTTTATGAGATGTCAGAGTCATGCTTTGAGCAGTACCTGTAACCTCTTATAACCACACTTGTAGCATTAAACACAGGTAGTTTATCTGTTTAAATAAAAACAAAACAGTAATAGTACAAATCAGTAAACTGAACCTTTAGTTCAGTTACAATGGGTCTCAAAGGACAAAACTTAAGTTTTTCAGGTATCATCAATATTTGGTTCAAAAACTTGTGTCCGGTAAATACAACCAGTTAGCTTAGCTTAACATCAAGGCTGCTTCCAAACAGAAAATAATCTTGCATGTAACTTCCTGCAAAACCACAATTTGTTTTTACATTTTGGTTTTTAGCACAGATTTAATAAACAAGAAAACAATGCGACTGTATATAAAGATGGAAGATGTGACAACTCCCAGAAGTGAAGCCACCACAAGTCAGCTGCCCTCCAGTGGCCGGTTGTAGTGTAGGTCTTAAACCCCAACCCCTTCAGATGGGACATGAGCCAAACTGAAAATTAAAAGCACAAATCAAATAAAATTTTCCCAGAGGTGATTTCTGTCACTTTTGGTAGCTATTATCATGATCTGTGTCCAAGTGGGCATTTTTCTGGTAAGTTATTTAATGATGTAGAAAAAGAGGTATGTGGGTTCTCTCCGGGTACTGCAGCTTCCTCTCGTAGTCCAAAGACATGCAGATTAAGTTGGTTGTTGACTTTAAATTGTCTGTGAGTGTGTGTGGTTGTTTCTCTACATGTCAGCACTGTAATAGACTGGCGACCTGTACCCTGTCTCTCACCCAGTGTCAATGTTTTCAACCAACAACAAGAAATCAAATTAAGCTTGTATCCAACAGTTTCAGACTATTCCTTTTTATTTTGCCAGTGTTAATAAGATATTGTATTATCACATTAATGTTCAACTCAATTAATTGATATACATTTAAATGTATGGCACCAGCAGTGATGTGTTTACAGCTTAGCCAATAGTGAGATCCTTCTAACCTGAGCATTAATGTTTAAAATGGTCCAGGTAAGTGTTAACATTCATAATAAGTTAGCAAGGTAGCTAAGATCCTAAAATATCCTAGAGCATTTTTTTTACCAGACAAAATGCTTTTGCACCTCTGCTTTTGGCTTATTGTAGAGAAGATATGTAAGGCAGGGTTGATGCATTTGACACGATGTGAAACTACTTGTTGTTTGATCAGGTGAAGGTCATGCGTTGCCTGGATCACCCCAACGTGCTTAAATTCATTGGAGTCCTCTACAAGGACAAGAGGCTCAACTTCATCGCAGAGTACATAAAGGGAGGCACCTTGAGGGAAATCATCAAGAAAATGGTGAGAGGAGGAGTGTGTGCCTGCATGAATACGAGTGTGTCTGTTTTCTGTTCAGTAGTCAAAAAGCATGCGGTAATTGAGGGAATACTTCTGTCTTACGCTGCCTCAGGCAGAGCCTAGTGTAACATCTATACGCGATAGTTGTGACCACAAGTGTTATGTTT